TGCCTCAAGTACTGGGCACCAGTATTCCATGCGTTTGTTCTATTCTTTTTAGACAGCACTGTCAGATGACTGTACAGATGATGTATGTTTGTCCTCAGGGTAATGAAAATGTTGACAGTCCAGAATAGATGGTCACAATCTCATATTGGTTTGAGTGTACTTATTACTGTTCGGTACCTCTTTGCATTAACATTTTTACTTTCTTCAATCATTTCCTGTTTTCTCTATTTCACTATGAACAACAAAAGTATACTTCAGGAACTAAGGTTTGTAAGTCCTATTTGTAAAGTATGAACACTAAAGAGGTATTGTTAGTCTTTATCCCTGTTCTTTTCCCTTTTTTCCCCCCCCTCCCCCCCAAAAAATATCTAATAAAAAATATATGAATTCAAACACAATGTTGCATCTTTCACATACTCACCACAACAACAGGAGCTGAAGTGTACATTGCTCTTGGAAGGACCCGTTTCCTAGTCACATCAACTGGCTCTAAAGTCTCCTCCTCACCAGACTCAATCTGTAAATATTAACTAAACTTAAAAAAATAAAATAGAATAAAAAAAAAAAAAAAAAAAAATTGAAGAGGGAGACAGAGAAAGGAAAGGAAAAGATAGAAAAATAAATAAAGATAAGACAAGAGAAAGAACTACCTGCAGAATAAGACAAATAAAAGGTTACTGGCAAATGAAGCCTAAAAAAAGCTTTCAAAGACTATAAAGAAAGCCTATGAAGCTAATAGGAAATAAAAGATTGTAAACTTTCAAGTCAGAAAAAAAAGTATGTATGAATATAAAAACAGAATATTCCCTAATTCGAAAAGTATAAATTTACAAAGAAGGAATGTACAAACAGCACTTTAGCAATTGTCTATAATATGTGTCAAAAGAAAAAATATATACTTACCTGTGCATTATTCATCTTGGAGGCTAACTTATCAAGGTCACCCTGGATCTTACTAAGGGCTGCTCTCCTTTGTACTTCTGCATCCTCTCGATGAATTCTTTTAGCCAGGCGCTGGGGCGAATTCTGGCCGCTGGCAAGTGGAGAGTGAAGGGAAACTGGGCTCTCTGACTGGATTTTGACTGGACTGACTTTGTGCTTTGGCTTGATATTCACAACCAAGGGTGGGGGAGGATTTTCCCTGAGATATTTTGCAACAGGACTAACAATACTCATCCCTTGCTTGAACCTCAGATTTTTTGGAGTTTTCAGTGACGGAGATTGGAGCTTGCTTGCTGAAGAAACTTGCATTTTGGTTCTTGTACTCTTCCCCTGTGGTGTGGAGAATTTGTGTATTTGATGACTTGGTAAACCTGATATTGGCTTGATATTAGCTCTAACAACCGGAGGCCGTGGTGGAAGGGCAGTCCTGCCACTGTTAAGTCTCATTGAAGGTTCTGATGGTGAGTTTTTCTTTTGAGAGGTGAAGGTTTTTGTCAGTGGAGAATTTGGCTGAGATCTGAAACCTGCAACTGACTGTACTGAAGGCCTAACAGGTGACTCTCCCACTTTTGATGTTCTATATATATTTGTCAGAGAGCCTGATTTATACAAGCCTGGCTCATTTACCACTTTTGGTCCAGACTGCTTCACAACCTTTTTAGTTGTGTCTACTTTTGAAACCTTTGGAGTTAAAGAAAGTGGACTTGGTTTAAGTCTACTAATACATACAGGCTTAGAGACTGGGCTTCTTTTCTGCATTTTAACACGGGCTTCCTCTGGATGCTTCTGTAAGTTCCCATTTTGCAAATTTAAATTCCTTGGTGGTTTAGGTGGTGCTTCCTTCTGCTTTTTGTTTGACAGAACTGATGGTGACCTGACCTCATTCATTTCAACGGTCTCAGGACTCTGAACAAAAATCATAGGTTTCTCAACATCTTCCCTTAGAGAAGAAGATCGCGTTGAGTCCATATTTGGTTGAAAGTTTGAGATGGTGCTTGCTACACTTGATTTCCGTGGGCTCACAATGCTTTCAAATTCATCATTGTCATCAACCCCAGAAAACTCTGCATGTGCTTTCCTTGCAGCACTGTATATGTCCCCAGAAGAAGGAACTTTTCCCTTGGCCTCATCACTTTCTTCTTTGTTTTTTTCTCCATAATTGAGGCCATACTTGAGCATCATTTCCATCTCTTCTATAGTATCATTGAACTTCTGATCTGGAGAAGATTCACCATCTGACCCATCATCACTTGAATCCAGATCATCTTTCGGCATGTAGCTGAACGCTGAACCACCAGGAGAGTGACAAACAGGACTGTAATTAACTTGAATATCTCCAGATCCACTAGTACAGTCAGATAGATTCTGAACATCAGCACTAGAAGCTGCAGAAGGTATGGGTTGAGATGAAAAAGATGCTGGCTCAGAATCTGACTGTGAGAAAATAATGGCCCTGTTGGCAGGGCCATAACTATCAATGCCTGATTCTCCTAAATTTTGAGATGAAGATGAATATGATGAAGTAGCTGAAATTAGTGGAAGTGGAAGTATTTTTCGCAGAGAAAGTAAGGATGTTGGAGGTGGAGTCACTGTAAAAGTAAACTTTGGATCTGCCTCTACTTTCATAAGGGGTCCTTTTGGTGGAGGTGTGACGGGGGAAACAGAATCATCTGCCTCACAGGAATCCTCCCTTTCTGTTTTAGGCTGGTCTGTGGCACATACATTATCAGTATCATTTTTATGAAGGAAGACTGAATCATCCCCTTCTGAATTTCTAGAAGAGGGAGTATCTGGAAGGATCCTCCCCATTTCAGAACCACTGATCAAGCACATATCAGAGCCTGAGGAAGGGAAATGTGTGAACACAGAGTCACTGCCCTCAGAAAGAAATTCACATGTACTAGAGGAGTATTTTTTAAAGCTTGATCTACTCTGCTGATCTTTAATATGTGGGAAAACCTTTTTATCAGCAGCACATATTTGCTCAAGATCATGTGGATAATTTTTCTCTTCTATAATGAATTCATCAAAAATATTTGCCTCATTCACATTAATAACTTCTAGACTACTGTAATAACTTTCACGTGGCTTAACTAGCTTTTTGGTGCGAGTTAGCTCATGTATATGACCTTCTTTCTGTGATTTACTTGAGAATCTGGAAGTGTAACTTTTCAAAAGAGAGGTGTCTGGGTCTAAATCACCTATTTTTTCTCTCTCCAATGATGGCTTTTCTTCCATCACTGCATTAGAATCTTTTAAGTTATCACAACTGGTTATTTTCTTTTCAGTCTCTGGGCTCTCTTCTCCTTTATAAGCACTTGTTTCTTTATCAACCTCATTACAAGTCTGTGACATACAGCTTTCTATCTTGTTTGGAGAATCTACATGCCTGGGGTCTGCTCTTTTATTTACAGTGCTTCCTATGCTGTTTATCTGCCTACTCTCAGAATTTTCCTTATAACATTTACTCTGCATTTCTTCATCCACATGGCATACATCATCCTGCTCTGCTATTACACGGGCATCACCAACCAGAGAACTTTCATCACTACAAGTTACTTCCTGACTAACAACTGAATCACAGGGCTCTGCATCTATGTAGTCAGTCTTGGTGTTTTCAGCCTCTATTACAGACCTAGATGGGGTTCTTGCTTCTTCTTGGGGTTTTGGGCTCATCTGAAGGTCTGGTTCTGGTGTATCAACTTCAGGTCCTGATATTTCTATTTCACTGGGTTCTAATTCTTCAACATTCATAGATGATCCCTTGTTTGGAGAATCTACATGTTTATGGTCTGCTCTCTCAGTGCTTCCTATGCTGCTTACCTGGCTACTCTCAGAATTTTCCTTGTACCATTCACTCTGCACTTCTTGATCCACATTGCGTACATTATCGTGCTCTCCTATTACATGAGCATCACCAGCCAGATAACTTTCATCACTACATGTTACTTCCTGACTTACAATTGAAGTACAGGGATCTCTATCTCTGTATTCAGTTTTGCTGTTTTCAGCATCTACTGCAGAACTAGACAGGGTCTTTGCTTCCTCTTGGGCTTTTGGGCTCATCTGAAGGTCTGCCTCTGGTGTGTCAATTTCAGACTCTGATATTCCCATTTCACTGGGCTCTAATTCTTCAATATTCCTAGATGATCCCTCTTCTGATGTTCTACAATATGAGTCAGAGTGCAAAGCACTGTCACTACTTTCACATGATGCTTCAACTCTTGAGACAAGGCTGACTTCTTGTGTTGAGTTATGATGTAATGAATCAGTTTCAGGATTTCCAGAATTACTGTGAAATATTTCAGTTTCAGTCTCATATGACTTATTTTCCAGTTTTGCATTGGACTGTGACTGAAAGACAAACAAGGGCTTGTCATTGCTTTGCAGTGAATCTGAAGAAGAGGCCAAGACTTCTGTGGATTCAGCAAGACCTGAAGATTGTGAAGAACTGTTTGCTACAGATCCCTCCCAATGAGAACTTTCTTCACCAGCAGAAGATGAAAGGGTACCACAGGCACTATGCCCATGCACAATAAGGGAGGTAGTACTGTCATTATCACACCCTTTACCTTCCTCCTCCAAAGATGCAAGGGATGGTCTGAAAAGAAGGAGGTAGATTGCAAAGCAGAATAACACTAACATCAGGAAAATATATCTTATGAATTTATCTAGTTTCATAGGTATTCCAAAATGAATGATAGAAGCTATAAATAGGAGGGAAAGAGCCTTAGACATCCTCAACATGCTATATAAGAAGACTTTCAGAATTTGTACATTTCATCTTGTACTTTATATAACCAGAAGATATATACCCCATCTATACATAGACAAGATGACTGAAAAATCATCACACTCACATTCACTCTACTCTCCCTCTCACACTCACACTCTCTTTCTCTCTCTCAGATCATAGAAAAAGCAAACATGCATACACACACATATACCCACAAACTGTACACATGGCACCAGTTGATTCTTATTTCTATCAATGATTTACAGTCAAACATAAGAATAGATAGTCGTTTGAGTATAGCCAATCAATGCAAAAATACAAAGAAGTGAAAGAACAAAGATTCATGCTAAATTGTAAAAGAGCAAAAAACTTCTTCAAATGCACTGTATCTGAAATTTGGAATTTAATACCACCAAGTGTTATGTAACCAAAAACTATGAGAGCAAAATCTATCACTACATCAGTACAACTAAGGTGAAGCACTGTTAATGTTTCTTCATTTAAGTGAAGACAGATAAGCTATAGAAGAATTGGTTGTTTTCCATAAAAGAGGAACATAAGGTTGAAGTAAAATGTTCAGAATAAAACATGACAACAGGGATGTCAAAAATTCAATTTTCCAAACAGAAATATTGATAAATGGAGTAAAATTTTATATGCCAGAACCATCAATCAACTTAGAAAGTTATACAAGATTCTAAATGGATGATATTGATGAAGGATACATCAGTTTATTTTGCTGTGCACTCTGGCATTTCAGCCTGGAGTTCTGGGAGGAGGAAATCTTACAGAAGCGCATTATAGAAAGACCTAAAAACGACGACCCACAAGACAGCCCCTAGAGATTAATTTTCTAACGCTCTGTAAGATCACCAACACTTCAAAAAACACTGGCAACATCAAGGGGTCAGGCCAAAGTATACCTCTCAGCTGGGTGTATAAAATACATTACAGTGCTTGCAACAAGGTAAAATAGGAGAGGCAAGATATGGACTCTGAACAAGAAATCAACCAGCACTACAGCACCCTTCAGCACCACAACATGAAAAGTCTTTCTTGTTCATGTCATCACAGACAACCACTTCCCCAAAGGGGATTCTAAGCCTACATCAATTAAGCTTTACCCCACAATAAATGCAGATGGTAAAAGCAGCGTTTATACAAGTAACAAATAACTTTAATACTGTGGCATAAAGCCCTAATCTATCTAATTTCACTTTACGCTGGAGCACCAATATGACCTGGCAGCTACAGAAAATATATACTTCTATGTATTTCTTTCATTATGCTCTGAAGTAAACTCTGACTTACTGGATCAGCTATTTATTTTTAAAAATGAATAAATAAATAAATGAATAAATAAATAAATAAAAAGCAATACTGAGATATAAGAAAAGAAGAAATCATTTAAAACTTTTTGAAAAAAATAAAAATAAGAACAAGATTCTCTCATATGCTAAAAATCAGTATGAATCTAAACATTCCAATGTTTAATATTAACAATAGTGACATCAAAGATATATCAGTTACAGTATCAAATAATAGTTATAACAACTTAAACTGAAGTGAGTTAAATAACACCTACTGATTCCTAAATGCAACTCTGTTAACCTTTGAAATAAGGAACTGGAATGTGCCTACTTTTTCCCCTATGTAGAAAAGGTATGAATGAGGACGAGTATCTTTACAATACAATTTGATCAGTTTTGATTATATCTTTGTCAGAAATACGTGCATTTCTGATAAAGATATAATTGAAACCGGTGAAATACATCTCTTGTATTTTGTAGATATTCATTCTCATCCTTACCTTTTCTACATTTGTCATTTTTCCCTTATCAGTGGCACAAAGTAAAGTATCTCCACAACCATACACTTCATAATTACACCACGAGCATGACATGTGGCTTCATATGTAAAGACAATGACAAACACACAAGACTCACAGACACACATACAAACACCGGGGTTGGAAAAATGCATGTTATAAATATTTTATGACAAACAAAAAGGTTTACTTATGACCTACATGACAAACATAATTTATGAAGCCATATATAAACAAATATAAAAAAGAAATGTCAAGCATGTGAAAAAAAAAAAAAAAAAAAAAAAATCCAGTATACAAAACTCTATTTTCTAGCTCTCCTATAAAACCATACATACAATACAACTGTTAGGTAATCATACTGATAACTTAAATGCATTTTCTTTTGTACAACCACAAATTCAATACCTGACAGGCAGTACAATGAAAATTCCTACAATTATCTGTTAATTTTATATACAAATATATATCAGTAAACAAACAAATAAACAAATAAGCATACCGTGAGGATCTCCTCCGGAACAAAGGTGGCCCAGATGAAAAAAGTTCTGTTCTTCTGTTCTTCAGCTTTGAGGAGATCTCCTGTTCTTTGACTGTTACAGGTCCAAAAAAGATCTCTTCATCACTATCGCTATCCATGTTCTCTGGAAACAGACAAAGAGACATATTGCAACACAAGAACTATATAAATAAACAAATGAATGATGAAATACAAATCAGCTAGTATTTTTACATCTGGATGCCCTTCCTGCCGCAACCCTCCCCATTTATCCGGCACGGGACATTCCACTGGTTTGTGGACTCCCATGGGTGAGCAGATAGAATCATGTATTATATACATAGACACATGGATGTGCATACTCAAGTATCTACTTCTATGCACATAGATCCATGTGTGTATGCATATGAATGCATGCATGTGTGCTTGCATTTCTGTGTTTATCTGTGTGCATGTGTGTGTTTGTGTGCATGTATCTGTGTATGCAAGCAAGTG